TACATAATATCACAACCACGTACATCGTATCTCTTAGATCTTGACATCGTCAGCTTGTAATTAATTATGTTCTACGCAAAATAATTTTTCGACGCTCCATCAGCTTTGCTTTCGAGATTCTCGGATACAGAGTTTACGAGAAAATCCACAGGGAGTGTGTCTCCGAATTTCAAAGCGGAATTTTATAAAAATTTTCTGAGTGACACGGACCGTTTATTTGCACGACAACAATATTCTTTTGTCGAAAGGTTTTCTTGCTGGTTCATAGCAGGGCGAGATAGAGTGTACGTTCGAAAGAAGGTCTCACGAAGAGAGTGGACACTTAGCATTTATATTCTTCTTTGAGCGGCTGCTGAAACGGAGCAACCGCTTTTTCCTCCCGATTCCTTTGAGAAGCTCCTTATCGCTCTCGATTCCGAAGGATCTCGAGACGCCTTTTCTGATTTCAATTCAAGTGCGTTCGAACATCGAACCTCGCTTTCATAGTTATTGGATTAAAGGATTAACCTCCGGATGTACGAGGAATTATGAAGTCATCTTGGTTCCTTTGAAAGTCGATGGCTCGGTGTATTTCGATCCACTCGGAGAAGTCTTTCCAGGATCATGACAAATTCAGACACCTCTACGGTATTGTACAGAGCTCTGTGTACACTTCTTCTTTTGAGAAAAAATATACGCGAATTGAAAAGTTTCAAAATTGCGCTTTCATTATCTTTTTCAGAATGCTACGTTTAATTTCTGAACGATTAAATGGAGTGACATAAAAAGTACGACGCGCTAAATCTTAGAACGTGCAGTCGATTATTTTGCTCGTGACAGTGAAAGCAATTCTCGAGGTATTAACTCGTCGCATGATCAGCGAGTCTGAGAATTTGTAACGCGAATTGTCGCAACAGATACGTTTCCTTTTCAAGACGAGAGACACGATGCCGAGTGACATCGTTCCCTTAATCGATTCGTCGTCGCGTAACCAGCTAATTCTCCGAGACAATTATTCCTGCACACCTGACATAGCGCCACCTTCTCCATTAGCGACATTAGCCAGCCTGTAGTTGATGCATTTCAGAAACGACCCTCAACCCTTCACCGCGAGAACTAACTTTCCTCTCTAATCGCCTTTGACGGTAAATCACTCGCGCGTTTCCACGGTCATGGGAGCGGTAAAATTCGTGGAAAATCGAGCTCCCGTTTAATCACCGGATATCGTGTTGCTTAATTCTCGACTCAAACGAATTAGTGTTTGACTATGGCTAGTAAATGGGGATTTCATAGCTACTTCCATGAACTTGTAACAATAGAGGACCATGTAATCGCGTCATGCGATTAACGCGATGCTTGCGTTCGATTTCGCGTCATTACACCTTTAAAGAGGAAACTGATCAAAACATTTTCCCGGTACTAGCTTCCAGAAACTAATTAAGCGAACACGATGTGTTATTATTGCTGTTCGTACCGGGAATTCTCGTTGTAATTTACAGAATAAACCCACCTTTGTAAAAAATTTAATAGCCAAGAATATTGTAGCAGCTGTGTTTTTGATCTCCACTACATTTGTTTCAATTATTTTCAAAAATTGTGCAGAGATTTTAATATCGCCGGTGCTACCACGCTAGCAAAACGTAATCTACGAACTAGCATTGCTACGAGTATCGAGGTGCATCGATTCTCGGAAATTTAATTCAACTCGATACTGTTGGAAGGATCAATTTTCAAGCACGATTTAATTTCCCTAACCGTGAAACGAAGGAAGCTGAATAAACAGTTAGTTGTCGTTGATAACTCGCACCACAAATCTATAATCGAATATCGCAAAGAGACAAATATATCTCCTAGAAGGTAGCATAAACAAAATCTGTGAAATAATGTTACAACGCGAAATGACTGAATTATAAAAGAACCACGACCAAAACTGTTCGTTAAAATGATGTTCAATTACCTCTAATAATATAATAAATTTTCCTACACTGTGAGGTTTCAATTAATTGATCGTTTAATTATTTTAAACGGCAAGTAAATTGTTTGTTCACCACCCGACTGTAAAAAAATCTGATGATTTCCGTATTCGCAAATATTTCGCTGACCCCGATTCGCTAATGCAAATAACAAGATAAATTACAGGCTAGTCCTCCGGCTCGTTTTCAACGCCAAATAGAAATCGATTCGACGACTGATTGACCAAAAGAAGATTCAGCGACGCAACACGTTCTTCCAACTTTCGCGTCGTTTCCAATTATTAGAGTAACTCATGGAGCAACATTGAACAGGATAATTTTTGGAATCTCGGAGTTTAAGATCCCAAGGAAAAATCTTGTAAGCAGAATTAGTATTTTGGATACCATAAGAGTCAGAAGCATAACGTTGACCTTTCGATCTCCCCGATTTCTTCTCGTTGGAACTTTCTGAGTGTTCCCGCGCTTGATCTTTGCCAGTTGTCAACGGAACCAGGCTCGTGCCTGGGTTAGTCGCTATTCAGAACTTAAATCCGGAAGTTAACTTCACACTCGGAGTCTGTCGGACTAATTTCCAGGACGTAATAATACGCGTATACGTCTCGCGATTCGCGCGCAGTAAAGTTTTGGACGCTAGAGGCGGTGTCGACGGAATCGGACGGAATTTGTTCCACCAAACTTGAAGGTTCACGACTTCCTCGCCGTGACGCCTCGTGGGTTTTATCGTACGATTATATGACCGGCAAAATGTTATCGTTCGGAATCGATGAATTTGCGAAAATTCGCGTTTCGATTCGACGTTGATCGAATAGACGCTGCGCCGAGTTATCGATCAAACGTCCTACAGCGATCCTATCGTTCCGGCAGAAGGGAAATGGATTTCATTGGGGAGGAGATCGACGACGTTTCTGCCTCCATTCAGGTCGTGTTTCGCTATAGCTTCGACTCGACATTACGATAATTAATCTGCTGTTTTTGATAACGGACGAGCTTGTAAGCATTCTTCGGGTACTCGAGGAAAAGGGGTTCGCGAAACTGGACGTAGTAATCTATGTTTTGGGCAACGAAAGAGGTTCAACGGACTGAGTGTAAACACGGGATTAAATCAAGTTAATAACATGTTTTAACAAGAATCCTTACTAAACTGTTACCGAAGATACGTGAATATAATTTCGCAATGTATCCGATTAATTTAATATCCCAGTTTACTAATAAAATATCAATAATACACAAACATCTCTTTCCTTTTCCGCTTCGTACATATTAAATCAAGTTAATTGTATATCTATCTCGTCGATCTATATTTAACGAGAAATGTACAAATATGTGTTTTCCGGTTCAGTTTGCACCGGTATATTTTAACTCGCAGGAGATAATTGATAGAAAAAACTGTTCAATACGATCCATCGTATTATACAACGATCGAGCTTGCGAAGGGAATAACATTTCACCTGTATCGTTTAATGTTTACAAAATATACGTTGATCAAACAACGTCTGGCAAGTTTGAAATAAACACGAAACCTGTCGATGGAGATTGAAAAACCTCCTGACCAATTCAATATTTATCCCCGTACTCTATGTTTCAGAGGTGGCTCCATTCGAGTTCTACGAAAATTTCTGTGAATTATTTGCACTTTGCTCGGAGCGGTACAAGTCGAATCTCGAGAGCAACCTTACACGAATCGGAAACAAAGGAAACAATATGTATCGACGAAATCTGAAATGTCTCAATGGATCGACGAGCTTTCACCGATCATCGATTATTACCAAACATTCGTACGCAACGTTCGAGTTTCAAAGGAAAATACAACAAATGTAATGGGTATTTTTTAACGACTCCCGTGAAATCTACCGTTGTCAGCAACCGGGTAAATAATTATTTTTTCAACAATCACCAGCGACAATATTCGAATAAAACAATACGTGCATACATCACGTTGTCCTATCAGGAAACCAATGAAATAATTCAAACCGCCATTGTGGAAATATTGAAAGGTTCGCATAGACTGCGTTTTATCAGCAACTCGACAAACAAGATTGGATCGAACTCGGAGACGTATTCGAGCGATGTGTCATTAAATTGCACGCTAAATTCGCGATTTCCAAAAATGAAAGACTTTCGTTTAATAAATACTTGTACGGGAAAGACGGTACGAAAGTGGTTAATCTAATTGCCAAACTAATATTTGTGTCCCTCGTTTAAACCGAGCTCTTTCAATCGCCGATAAAACCGGCACAGCTATCGACGATCTACGCTGAAAGCACCCTTTGTCGTTCCTATAAAGTTACTAAAATCTGTTCGAACTCGAGTCACGAACTTCCTTCGCGAGTTCGTTAACTTTTTTCTGGCTTCTACTTTTCCCTCTCTGAAAAGCGAAACCCGATTCGTTTGCCTGGTCCAAAGTCTTGCAAAAACTACTCTTTCTTCCAATCCATATATAACGCGAAAAGAGCAGCGCGATTCGTGATTCGAAGGAAAGAATCAAGTCCGATTCGTCGGTGTTCAGGATTGCTTTCGAGCGAAGCGAAATCCGCTCGCGAAAAAGCGCAGATTGCACGGTCGGCGCAAAAAGGAAAACGTTGGCTAACGATCGAGACCAATATCGAGATCTTTTTCCCCCGCGTTTCAGCGTCCCCGGTAAAACCGATGGAACTTCCGTGACTAAAGAATCCGACAATTGGACCGTCTCTAAAGAGCCTTCGTCGCAATTGTGCTAATTCAGAATGGATACCGGGACTCGACGGAGTCAGCGAATCGAAACGAAGGTGTCTTCCAAGTCCCTTCGACCGATCGTTCTTGCTCGTCACGCTTCTGCCTTCGCAGCAAGATCTTTCTCCCCCTCGACACCCCAACCCACCCTCCACTTGGAACGCGTTGCGCTTCGACAAACAGTTGGAACCGGTCACGTAAATACTCGCGGTAAATCCCATTCCCTACCCTCTTATTTACGACTTTGTTCCATTTCGAGCTCTCGTTCGAATTTCCTTTTTGCACCCCGAGAAACCGTACCAAAAGGCTTTTGAGAAGGTTCGTAAACGTTTCACTCACCGTTCACGGAGAACAGGAGGACGAGGATCCAGAAGATCAGGATACTCCCAGCCACGTGGTGTGCGGCATCGACGATCAGCCAGTGTCCCATCCTGACGCTACGCCAACCGTCCAGTTGGTCGCGTTCCATCGAGCCCCGAAGAAGCGATGGAAACTGGTGCGACGGAACGTTTACCGGCGGCCACTCGAGCCCCCTCGCAAGGGAGGCCGTTTACCGTGATTATTCTCTACGTATTTTCGCTATTTACCCTCGCGGACAAGTCGAAGAACGAACGCGGAAACTAATCTAGTCTCTCGGCCACTTAGAAAGACGGTACGAAAGTGGTTAATCTAATTGCCAAACTAATATTTGTGTCCCTCGTTTAAACCGAGCTCTTTCAATCGCCGATAAAACCGGCACAGCTATCGACGATCTACGCTGAAAGCACCCTTTGTCGTTCCTATAAAGTTACTAAAATCTGTTCGAACTCGAGTCACGAACTTCCTTCGCGAGTTCGTTAACTTTTTTCTGGCTTCTACTTTTCCCTCTCTGAAAAGCGAAACCCGATTCGTTTGCCTGGTCCAAAGTCTTGCAAAAACTACTCTTTCTTCCAATCCATATATAACGCGAAAAGAGCAGCGCGATTCGTGATTCGAAGGAAAGAATCAAGTCCGATTCGTCGGTGTTCAGGATTGCTTTCGAGCGAAGCGAAATCCGCTCGCGAAAAAGCGCAGATTGCACGGTCGGCGCAAAAAGGAAAACGTTGGCTAACGATCGAGACCAATATCGAGATCTTTTTCCCCCGCGTTTCAGCGTCCCCGGTAAAACCGATGGAACTTCCGTGACTAAAGAATCCGACAATTGGACCGTCTCTAAAGAGCCTTCGTCGCAATTGTGCTAATTCAGAATGGATACCGGGACTCGACGGAGTCAGCGAATCGAAACGAAGGTGTCTTCCAAGTCCCTTCGACCGATCGTTCTTGCTCGTCACGCTTCTGCCTTCGCAGCAAGATCTTTCTCCCCCTCGACACCCCAACCCACCCTCCACTTGGAACGCGTTGCGCTTCGACAAACAGTTGGAACCGGTCACGTAAATACTCGCGGTAAATCCCATTCCCTACCCTCTTATTTACGACTTTGTTCCATTTCGAGCTCTCGTTCGAATTTCCTTTTTGCACCCCGAGAAACCGTACCAAAAGGCTTTTGAGAAGGTTCGTAAACGTTTCACTCACCGTTCACGGAGAACAGGAGGACGAGGATCCAGAAGATCAGGATACTCCCAGCCACGTGGTGTGCGGCATCGACGATCAGCCAGTGTCCCATCCTGACGCTACGCCAACCGTCCAGTTGGTCGCGTTCCATCGAGCCCCGAAGAAGCGATGGAAACTGGTGCGACGGAACGTTTACCGGCGGCCACTCGAGCCCCCTCGCAAGGGAGGCCGTTTACCGTGATTATTCTCTACGTATTTTCGCTATTTACCCTCGCGGACAAGTCGAAGAACGAACGCGGAAACTAATCTAGTCTCTCGGCCACTTACCGCGCCGAGCGCCAGTGAGAGACTGTTCGACTTCGGGTAGCGCGCGACAGGTTCCCGCGGCGATTCACGGTTCGTGCGCAGCCGGTCGTCCTCGACCACCCTCGGCTCTCTTCGAGCCGAAGCTCACTCAGACATCTCGTGCTTTCGTGCTTTCGTGAACCGATCGGCGTCGTGTACGCGTGTACGTACGCGACACGCCTAAGGATGGTTGTCCGTGGGGTTACGAGAAGCTCCGACCGCAGCTCGAGCCGCGCACCAGGGAACCCACCACCTCTGACCGACTATCCTGTCTTCCCTTCCACGCTCTTCCACCTGCTACTTCTTCCCCCGCGCATCCTTGTCCAGCATGCACCCTCGGGCTGAACCAGCGGTCCATGTTCTGTTGCAGTTCCCGTTGCATACACGCGTTCGTGTATGCCGTCTACGCCCACGACCACCGACCGCCGTCCAACGGCCGACCTCAAAGAGCGAGGGACCCGGTGTGTAACCTTATGCCGTCGCCGTCCACGCAAATTAAATAGAGCGCAGCTTACGCCGCCGATTAGCCACCCTTTCGACGACTCCTCTCTCGCAGGATGCGGACCGTCCTCAAATTATTATACCTTTTTACCAATTACCTTTGCAAAACGGCGGAGAGCTTGTTAAAGACAGGCTGTCCGGTTCTGGTACCGCGAGCGTTCGCGAGTCGCGCGTTTGCACGCGGTCCCGTCGTACAACGGCCGGTTTGATGTTACGCTTTTTGGTCGGTGATTGCACGCTGCCGCGTGTAAAGCAAATCGAGCGGACGATAACATCGTCGAGGGAGATTAAAACGAGAGGTTCGAGTAACCGCGCTGGGATCGTGCGACGATTTAATGGAACCAGACGAAATTGGAAGACACGCGCTTTCGCGACGTCAGCGGCGAAATTATTCGCGTTTATCGCCCTTTTCGCCGTCAAATTTACGAACGAGCGGAATCTTAGGTAATTGAAAGTAACAATAATTTTCCCTTTCCATTGAAATACGCTGAACGATGACCAGGCCGGCGAGATACGCGAATTTATCACCTCGCACTACATGGTGGTTGCCTAGCGGTGCGAATTGGCATGCCCATTCTTCTTCCATACATCGATAGAACCAAACAAAATCGCGTTTATTAATAATAGAAATTAACTGTTCTCCAGTAAACGAAAATTCACGGACGGACAAACAATTTATATCGGTTCGAGTGGTAATCGGAATTTGAAGCATAGAAGCTCCATTATAAACCGAATCAAATAGCTCAAAATATTCTTCGTCGACTTATAAAATCGTGCATTACCAGATGGTTAAATAATATCGGTCGTTTTCATTGACCAAATATTTGTTATTAATCCTGGTCCGAATTGTTTCGATCCTGTACGCGTATTGTCAGTTCCTTCGCGCTTCCGATTTTATCGAACATAATGAGTGTTTCGAATATCACAATGTTTTTTTTCCATCGATAAAATTGCCGTGCAATACAGAACGCGCGTTGTTTCAGTATTATAATCTGCGCGTACGTTCCACGTGCATACCTGATAACAAGTGAGAAAAACACAGATAAAGCCAGTATCGCAATACATACCAACTAATTCAAAAATGATTGCTCTCGCAGCACGGTCAGCAGCAGCGTTTTGTGTTTCGTTTATTTTACTCGCTTTATTGATAAAAACCTGAAATCAATAAATGTTAGCGAAACGATTGCGCGATAAATAAAGGCAATGAAAAATACAATTTATGAAATAAAACGCGCGCAGAAAAAGTTATCGACGATTTCTCGTTCCCTTTCGCCGGTAACGCACCCCCTCAAAGTCCCAGGAATCAAAAAATAACTCCGTCGAATCGGTTCACGATGACTGACATCGCCTGACACAGCGTCGCGATTAAGTAGCCGTAACATACGCGACAGATTAACTCGTCTCTGTGACGTTCCGCTTCCGTAAATCCTTTGACGTTTGCGGCTTCCTAGTTCCCTTGATTAACTTACGTGCACTTGACTTTTCGCAAACTCTCGTGCAGTCGCAATCAAGTTTCGATAAGAAGAAAAAGCGTATCTCCTCGAAAAAAATAATTCTCGCAAAGCACGGATTATCGTCAACGTTCAAATAGGCCGCAACAACGTTTGATAGAGTCGTTTTAACAGGCTCGAGCAAGTACTACAACGTCGAAACAACGGCGAAACTATTTTCATCTTGGTGCTTCCTCTCTTCGCTTTTCGGGACGCTTCCGCAACGAACCTGAAAACATCTCGAGAACAATTTTACCAACGATCGTTTTAATCGCGAAGCAACGCCAGCTTGGGTTATTATACGAATAGATTGGCAAGTGGTTTAATTAGAAACTGATACGGCTTTTTGCAGCAACAAAATCTGCTGGCACGACTCGAGATGCGCCCAGCCATGCAAATTGTTTGGAACTGCACGCGTAACAAGAACACGCGTATCCGAGGATCATTTGCGGTTAGCATGCTACCGCCATCTCCTCTTACTATTATTTGTTGCGAGCAAAGGAGCACGCGTAACTGCTGACGTGGCCGGACCCAGGATCGTAAACCAATGTTTTATGGCAAATTAATGTCGAGGAGCGGAAGTGATTAATCGATTTGCCCACTGATGTATCGTACTCTGCTTACCGACGATTACTCCGAACTAAACCTGAGAGTAGAATAATGACGAACGATTTATATCGCCGCGCGCTGCGAGATCTCCGCTTTAATCTGTTCATATTTATTCGTTTGGTCATTCAATTATCGTTGATCAACATTACTATTTCCTCGCCTTCCGTTAATTATAAATAATCAACTTAATTTCTTCGATAAACTTCGTAGCGAACGAGACCCAAGTACCTAAGTTTCCATTTCTTTTAATTGAAAATAAAAATACGACGTTCGCTACGTTTTAGCCCGGGTACTTCAGAGAAATTCTGAAGAAAAATTTGGACGTCGTCGCGTTGAAACTTTTTACAAGGGTAGTGGATAATTTAATTCTTTTTCTCTTTTAACTGTTCCTCTAAATAAAGCAATCTGTCTCGGTATACTAAAAATGTTCTCCATGAATGCCGCTAATTGCGGCAATATTTGAAATTCATAACCAAATCGATAGAACTGTCGATTCACAACGAGAGCAATTTGTCGAACAGATATGGACACGTTACGTCTTGAATGGTGAAAGGAGCATACATCTCCTGTATGCTATGAGACACGCGCACACATATGTACATCTACCAGCAGCAATCAACATGCTAATCAAGCTTTTGAATCAATTCAAAGGATTTAGTTTCATGGCGGACGCGAGTTAAAGCGAACTTTTGTTGTCATCGAACGGGTTATTATAGCAACGAGTAACACGGAATATGATCACTCGCCAAACTATCGATATAATATGATTATATTATAAGCCAAGAGTCAAAAGTGAGCTAGAAATAAATATCTAAAAATTTTGATAAAAGGGATAGGAAATTAACGGCGACTAATATTTTATAATTTTCAATAACATTATTCGGTACCATGCTGTTTTATTTTTATGAAACTATTTGCCTTAATATACAGTTTTACACATATATATTCATCCAAAAAATATTCTTGGACATATCGAGAACAATTGAGCCGTTCAGGTTTAAGAGGTGAAAAAATTTCACTCTGGGCTGAAATACACTCCTGGAAATTAATGGTCAATTTTGAACTTTGACCCCATGCACAGTAGCAAACTTTTACAAATAGTGCAGTTTATGGACTAAAAAATTGGCTTCCATCTAGCGGCGAAACGGGTGAACTAAACATAAAGAACGAGGGTCCGGACACGCATATAAGGAAAATAAAAAAATTAATATTTCGGCACTTTGACGACGTAGTATGGTTCCTGAGGCATTTAGAAACAAATTTCTATTAGGGTTTGATGTGTTTTGATGCTTCATAAAGCCAGAAAAGCAATTTTTGTCGAATTCGGTCGAAAACGGTACAGGTGGCGCCATCTAGCGGCGAGCGGCGGAACTACGAAACACTAAAATTTTGATTTTCTCGAAAACTAGGGACTTTTCCGAAATTCTGAGATATACAAATTCTTCCTTGTCGCCTACGGAATCGAACGAATCTAATTATAGCTTGCTAGGACCATTATTAATGAAAATAGAAAAATAGCCCATTTCATGGACTAAAAAATTGCCGTCCATCTAGCGGTGAAAGTTGGAACTACAAAAATAGAAAATCTCGATTTTCTCGAAAACTAGGGACTTTTCCAAAATTCCGAGATATACAAATTGTTCCTTGTGGCCTAAGGAATCGAACGAATCTAATTATAGCCTGCTAGGTCCATTATTAAAGAAAATAAAAAAAATGTCATTTTATGGAGAAAATTTGTGGCGCCATCTAGCGGCGAAACTGCGAACTAAACTGAAAAAACGTATGCCCGTACACGCGTTAAGGAAAAATATAAAAAGTAATATTTCGCAACTTTTACGACATAGTATGCTTCTTTAGACAATTTAAAGCAATTTTTGTTGAATAAGTTAATCATTTTTTTGCCTATTAAGGCCAGAAAATCAATTTTTATTTGACTTTATACTGCGTGTTCGGGCATACGTTTTTTCAGTTTAGTTCGCAGTTTCACCGCTAGATGGCGCCACAAATTTTCTCCATAAAATGACATTTTTTTTATTTTCTTTAATAAATTTTCTCCATAAAATGACAT